CCATCATACTATTTCCAACTTTCGGCTTTCGCCATAATCTGGATAAACCAAAATTATCCCGAACTTTGCCTTTAAAGAGCGATCCAAATGCCATTGATCAACATTTGAGTGGAGAGTCAAATTTACTCCTGAAACTGTCTGCGGAAAAGTTGTTATATTACCATAATAAATTGTTTAAAGTTGAAAAGCAAGTCAGTCACGAAAACCCTGCTCGCTACCACTGAGTATCGCCTCCAGTTGGGTATCATTGCTATATTCTCACACTGGGATGAAATACCTCTTGAAACTTGAGGGTATGCCACAAAATCGAGTTACTCAAGTGAAAAACCTGTCGGGTTTTCAATTCACCATTTTAGTGAGTTTGAATAGCTTAAAGTCACAGTTCACGATAACATTGACCCTTTTTAGTCGAAAAGGAGAAGTATTGCTTGGGAATAGTGCCGTGCATCGGTGGTGAGGGAAGAGAGTAAATAGGTCGATATCGCAAAAATAAGGCTCCACAAAAGTAGTGAAAATAGTGGTTTTTCGAGACTACCATGACGGAAAAGGCATGGAAGGGGCATTAGGACGAGATTTCAGCTATTGCATTTGCGAAAAGAGCTGACTCCCTCAGGTCAAAACTGTCCAGAGTGGGAGCCGGTCGTTTGGCGCGATGGGCGGAGTCGCGCCGCCTCAAATGGGCGGCGCGACCCCGCCCATTGCGCCAAACGACATACACCCGTCCAGAGTTGTCTTTCACTGTCGCCATGGGTCACGACAAGTTGTTTGAACTTCCTACATGGGAGGCCCTGGATATAGTGCAGTCCCAACGAAACGGGTGCGCTTCGTTGCGCGTGTCCGTCGAAACTAGGTCACGCCGCAGCCGTNTGGGGCATACGCTTTGCGTTTGGTCCACGGCATCAGTTCAACAAGAAGATAACACAGACGAATGCAAATCACTTGCTCCAATGACACTTGGTGGTACTGTAATTTCACCTCGAGACCTAAGTGTGATGCGCCGCGCGCGAAGTGGGCGGAGTGACCTATTTCGACGGACGCGCGCAACGGACGTTCTCCCAACGAAACCGTTCAAACTCGTCCGCGCATACACACGGAACAAATTTGAGCGTTGTAAAGTACAACGCTCCATCAGGTCGTTTTCCGACCTGGCAACGGCACATATGGTATACGAAGGGGTCACAGTTTCTTCTTAGCGGTATATCTCATGAGACATTTTTTGTCGTGAACGGTGGCTTCAAATACATATATCGTCAAATAGTATAAGCAAACATGACAGGTGTTCGAACTACAGCAACAGAAGAAAAGCGAAAAAAAACTCATCGCGTTTCTAATAAAGATGCAAATTCTTCAGCCGGTACTGCATGGTACCTGACTGTGTGAGTTATGTGCTGTTTTGCACATCGACCCCGCAAGCCACTGTGTAAGCTACAAAGCATCCAACGGTTCTGTTTAGCAACCGAATGCATAAGAACTTCCAGAGCTGTGATCAATCGAATACATGTGAATATACCGCAGCGAAATCATCGATCGAAGCATTGCCATTTTTCGCTTCACACGTAGGACTTCTTGAAGGCACAGTTCACGATAATTTTAAGGCACCCGTTTCTATTCGAAAAGCGGAAGTATAGATTGGGCACAGTTCATTGGTAGTGTAGAAAGAATTCGTCGATTTCGAGAAAAACATGGCTCCTTAAAATTAGGAAAAATAGAGGTTGGACGAGATTGCCATGACGGAAATAACATGGAAGGGGTATTTGGACGAGTTTACAGTTGTTGCAATTACGCAGAGTTAAACACCTCGAGCTAGAACTGTACAGAACTACCTTCCACTGTGGGTCATAACAAGTTGTTTGAACCTCCTACATGGGTTCCCTTGTGATCGGTGCAGCCTCTACAATGCCGGTGAAACTCGTCCGAGGATACACACTGGCCAATCTTTGAGTCTTTATAACTCCCTAACTAGACCGTCTTTCGACGTAATAGTGCCATATATGGTATACGAGGGGGCCTAGAACGCATCCTATGGGGAATCTCAGAAGCCATTTTTATCGTGAAGTGTGCTTTTGAGCCCACTAGAAATTTACGCACTAAAACGCACCATATTAATTGAAACGTTCCTGACTCAGAATGTAGGTTTCTATTAATCACAGTTCCAGACTTGGAAATGCTGCAGAACCAAAAATATTCCATGAAATTGATGGGATACGAGGTACTATCACATGTGTATCTTTTGATGGGCTTTCAGAATGCACAGTGATATCCGTTCGTTCTAATCACCTGGCGCACTTGTTTTGACCCTTCTTTTTAGCCTGCGATCGCCAAAAGGAAGGGCAAAGAAGGCATTCTGACGCCTTTTTGCAAGATTATTTCATTTACGATTCTGAAAGCCGTGTCACCTTAGACGGGGCCTCGGATAAGCACTACAGTCTACTGCTTTACAACTGATCTAGTAGCATCCATAATCGATTAGTATGGATATTATAGCAACAACATAGTCACAGTGCCCAAGAGCAACGAACACATCTATTTCGAACACGTTCCACCATCAACACAGCTACAACCCTACATTATTCATAAGTATTTTATTCAAACAACATATAGACAGGTGAAAGAAGCGTCACATTGTATCTTCGAGCTTTGGGCAATTAATGTAGGAATTGCCGATAATAGGTGGATTAACTAGACTAGGACGACGAACACGAACACGATAAAGGCCAACTCTAACATCCACGACACGATCACCGTATTGCAACGGTGAAAATCTTGGAACTAATTGAAATAATATGACAACTTCCAGAAAAATGAAATAAGCCATCGCTAAACTTTCGAACCACGAATCGGCGACTTCAATTCAAGAATTTTTTTCGTGAGAAGACTAGAAATATAAAAAAAGACTATGGAATCGATCGCCTTTTTCAATAGCTGTAGAATTCATGCACTTCTGAAGAAAGGCCATGAACCTCATAAATGGTCATACATTAGATGTAGTAAGGAACCATGGTGAACAAGTATTGGGGTTTGGGATTTTCAAGGAAATTCGTGCAGTCCGCCCAAAATACAAATCTGATATGGGAAGGCGAGTAATGGGCATTTATTGGATGTCGACCAGAAGGAAGATGGGACATATAATAGTACTAACAGTACTATTTGAGTACCGCTTTTCCCAGCTTGACTAGATGTCGTTACTAGTCCAAAGTAGGACTCAAGAGGTAGCAGGAAGTTGGTAGAACAGAATACTATGTTGAGGAGCGGGCTGCAATTATGTTAGTAAATGATTTTTTTTCTGAACAGAACAGTCCGTTTGCGCAAGCCCATCTACCCTGCCCAAACAAGAGGAAAAATGAAGATTTACCATGCAATGGGCACAACTTGTAGTGACTATAGGCATTCATTTTCCGGGTATGGGTACATTCGCCCGTTTAGGAAGCACGAGGCTAATTGTTTGATTTTTCGATTCGAAAAGTCCGGCGCTTTTTACTAGAGCACATATTTGAAGTAGAGTAGATTGGTAGGGTCAGCTGCCCCTATTGATATCTTCTCTACTTCAAATCTGTACCCCAATGATAGGCGCCGAGTCTTCCAAATCGACAGAAATTTCGCCGCGCTATTTACCGTGTCCACCTCTAAACGGACGAGCCTCTCGTCCGCATCCCCCACCCCCTCCATTTCTCTGCTGTTGCGATATTAAGCAAAATAAAATGTGGAAATAGTTGAGGGTAACAGAAAAATTACCAAATATCTATAAAATGTTTGAAAAGTCAATTCATGTATATCGATTGTATTTCCTAACGCAGAAATTCCTTAAACANACAACATTTGAGGGTTAATTTACATTTGAGTTTCACTCCCAAAAATCCGCACTTCGGCTGACTCCAGAAAGTAGGCTGCCCATAATGGACATCTACAAATCTTTGAGGAGTTTTTGGAGTGGTGATGCACGAATACACTTTACAACAATATAGGGTGAATAGAAAACGATTGCGGTGACATATAGTAGCAAAGACAAACGGTGAGATTACGAGTATCATAGACAAGTGTCAAAAAACGACGATTGACAGCTAGGTGGATGGATTCTGCTCGAGCATACCATATACGCTATATCGAAAGAACTAGCCACACAAATAATGCTCGTCCCTTAGATGTTCTCCAGCACCATCTTCTTGTGCACTTCGGTATGCTCGACAACCTAAAGCGCTCATCGATTGAAACTAACCCACTCTTCTGAAAAGTCGTAGGCGGATAGTCCTCATCATGACATGTTCAGGGATACAGAATTGTGTGCTCACTCAACACTCAACCCTTCCAAAATCCGGGAGAAGCATGCTCAAAAAGGATCAAAGTGGAAATAAGAAGAAAGGACAAAAGGTAAATGCTAATAGGATGACGATTCTCGAGCCCTGATAGGACAGAAAAAAACGCAGAGTTCTCATCCGTTTTGAAGGGTCTGATCAAAAGTCTGGAAACCATATTTTGCGAGAGATAATAGAGAAGAAGTAGGCCACTCGGAAGCACACTCAACACTAACCAGCAAAGCATGAAGTCGAATCAGGGGGTGCAGGAACGTTCCCATCCCTCAAAACCACCCAGGGAGTGTTATTCTGCTTTACTTTAATTGATTTGAAAATTGAAATCCGTGAAACAAACAGTGATAGATTTCTTTCTGTTCAAATCGTTTTCCGTTCACTTCGTTTTTTTTTTGAAAATCTATCTATATGTAAATCAAAGCTCAAGATCCTAATCCGAAATGTTCAGTTATCAATATAAAACGTACGAAAGGCTGCGGTTGAGTATCAGCTGAGCGTATTAGGCAAAAAGCGCCAAAGCTAACAATAGAAAAACAGCCAGGAAAACTGAAAACATAGGCAATGTAGCGGTTAGAACGTAAGGCTAATCTATGAGGCAAGCAAGAAGCGAGAAGGAAAAAGAAGTGGAAAAGTGAAGTGTATTTCATGCATTTCAAAAANAAAAACATCTACTACATCATCTACCATGCCATAACATTAACAATGCTCTTCATAACGGTATGGATGCATAACTGTATTATCCTTAAGTTCAAAAGAAAAACGTACGTCGCAGAACTCCTGGAATGATATTCTCCCGTCGCCATCCTTATCATGGAATAATATCGTCTTGTCGACGATTTGTTGCAGTTGTGAATCTTTTAGATTATTGCCGACCATCATTTTCAGTACCTCAAAAATCAGCTATAATAAGGAAAAATCCTAATGAAATAAAACTAAAAGAGTAGAATACAAAAAAAAGACGAGCAAAAAGCGAAAGTCAAGCGAAAACACCTGGAACAATTCTCCATTCGATATAAAACCATCCCTATCGATATCGTATATGCGGAAAGCAACTATAAATGGTAGTGTCATTCACAGAAGAACATTGAAGGAGAAAATACTCGAAGAAAGTCCAGACCCACATTTCAGCTTAACATTTTTGTCTCCTTTAACGCTGAATTGTGATATACCTTGTATGAACTCTGGAAATCACCGATATTATTGTTTATTCGGGGAAAATTTTGAAATTAAGTTGAGAAGCGCCTCGCCCAGGGACAAACTATAAAGGTTCAAGCTTTAAGAACTCGAAGAAGAAATGATGGGTGGGATATTGGGCAGCTTTCATACTTCATAATTGATGGGCGGAGGGCGAGATGCGCCGACCTCCGTCGATACCCTTTCGATGACTCATACCGAAAATTAGCCTCTCCACAGCGCTCTTTTTCAAAAACTGAATTATTACAGCCAAGCTGAATAGTATTATGATTTGCGTTCGCGTAGAGTGCCATGAAACATTGAGTTCTAAGCATAAGTCATTGTTCACTAAGATTTTGAACACAGAAAAATGCGATGCAATCTACTAGCATTTATAGAATAAAAAACACTTGTAGATTTCAGTAACTCCACAGCAACGCCCGCTATGGACATGACATTTACCACTCGGCGCCCCAAGAGGGCTAGCGCTATGAGCAATCGCATTGACATTTCACAAAACTATAATTTCAAAACGCAACTCACCTCGAAAATCCACCTCCCCGTTCCCGTCTTCATCAAATATATCGATTACTCTTTGTACAAGTGGATTTTGTTGCAATTCGGGTAGAGACATGAACTCCTGTAAAAAAGACTTTCTTGACAGATGTAAATGAATGTCAGATTCAGCAAGTAATGTTTTATTACAACATTCGTACAAGTTAAGCATGTGCGTGTTGTGAGAAAGTCTAAATGAAGTTGTGGGGGTTCATCTAGCCGCTTTGCTTTGCGTACAAATTCTCAGAGACTAGATGAAGTATCGGTTACGACGACAACTAACAATTCAAACAAAATAGTTGCAATAAGAACTTACAGTAACAATTGAGGCATATCGAAACATAAAATAAATAGAAAAATAAAGATATGTGCAACTGTCAAAAGGATAGACTGAGCTCTACCTCTACTGATAAAGATCCAGAGCCGTCAATATCCAATTTCTTGAAACGGCGAGCAAGCCTTCGAAGCTCATATGCATCGACTGTAAAAAAAAGTGTAAAAGTTCACAAAAGATAAGAACTTACTTGTAAACTAGTTATAAAAAAGGTTTTTTTTGCTAAAATTTAAAACAAGCATTTATTGAACAATGCTAGCAAGAAAGTTACAGTTCTGAACTACAGAAAGTCTTCAACTTGGGTTGAAATGACGAAGAGTCGAGAAAGAAACCCTGACAAAAGAAATTTTGGGTTCAGCAACTACTCACAATCAGATCATTGCCTTCTTTGTAAGTGAGTTTTTGACACAAAAAGCCTTTCCTAGACCACATAATTACAATACTCGCATGTCACAATTTACAGCATGATAAGCACATCTCAGGAAAACGAATCAGATACATTAGGGGGTACATCTCTCGCTAGGGAACTCAAAAAGAAAAAATCTCCCATCCCATCTTGACCCCATGACCTGTTATCATGCAATTGGTCTCGAGAAGTCACCCAACTCTTCCTTCGAGCTGATTCCTGTTTAATGCACTAAATTTCCCACGTTTCCACAGAATCCCATTGTAGGAGCTCACCAAATATGAGTACAAAACTCTCACTCAGAAGGATGGAGCGTTTTCACTTCCACGCAGAGGTGGGAGATGCTTGGAAAACAGCTCATCCAGGCGTCTTCAAGGTATTTGCTGTTATCAAACATGCTCTCCTTCATATCTTCTGCATTCAATTAGAAATTCTTTGAAATTCGCAAATTGTCAAAGATACGCACTATCGACTCTATTTTCCAAAGATTCAAAACGATATTGTTTAGGGGAAGTGTGGGAGTCTGGAAACTTCTCACGACACGGTTGCTTCACGAGCAATTTTATTGGTAGCAAATGCCTATTCAATAGTTCCCAGTTTTTCGGCAGTTTTTCCAGGCATTGACACTCAGTCATTAAAGTGGAAACGCTCCATTCGTTGTGAGATTTATGCTTAGATATTTGATAACACTCTCAGAAACAGAAACCATAAAAGCACAGAAATCATTCCGCTCAAAATCCGCTCAAGTGGAAAACAAGAAGACCGCAAAGAGTTAATCATCAACGAATCCACCCTCCTATAATTCTGGTTCGTTTCGATGAGACGTATTTGTTGTTTATGGTGGCTGCATGTAAGCAATTAATGTAATCCTGAGAAACGAAAACGCCAATAAATGCTTTAAGCTCGCCAATAAACTTTGAGTTCAAGGCATTGAAAAAACTCTTTCGAAATCATAGTAGATGAAGATTAGGGACAGCATCATTTTTTAAAATATGTTCAAAATGGCAAACCCTGCACTTCGGCGAAAATTCCCGAAAATAAGGAAACTCCACTACCCTTGAAAGTTATTGAAAAAGTTGATGATTAAGTATTTGAAATGAAAATAAATCTAAGGTAATCAACAGTTCCACTCACAATTGCTACACATTTCCATCGGTAATGAACTTTCCGCACCCTGAAACGTTTTTCGTTAAACGGATGGCTCAACAGCTAAACAAGTTAGTAAGGAAAATGATGGCTCTGCACAGCAACACGACTACAAAGGAGATGCTCAGAATTCTCCATCTAATGCAGTTTCCGATATAGCTGCGAAAACTAAACTAAGACAATGAAAAACAGAGCGAGGAAATTGAAAACAGCGGACTGGTTGCAACCGAAGTGAAGGAAGCACCCAGAAAATGGTGAAACTATCTAATGGCTCATGAAGCAAAGTTTTTTGGCAGCTAAGAAGGCAGCACTTACCATGTTTAGATAAGGAGAAGTTCCCAAACGACAATGACCCGGTAGAGATTCAACAGGCACCACGTGCGATCACCACAAAACTGAAATACTGAATTTAGTAAAGCATATTCTACGAAGAACACGTGACAGCAAAATCGACTATATGAGAGTGACGTGATGGCGTATAAACACAGTCAAGGGAAAACCACAATAGAAACTAACAAAAAGTAAATCATTGAACTTTTGGAACTGGGAACTTGTAAAAATGACAAGGACCGATGAATGACTTCGTTAGCTTCAAATATTTATTGTTTTCTTTGTTGCGAATGCTGTCCAGAACTATACCTTCTCTAGCACGACATTGACTTTAATCAAAAACCAGACGTGACTAAATGGAATCCAGAAAAGTGGACAACGATAAATTCTGCCTGCGAAATGATAGGAAACTTGGGTTGCACCGCAACTAGGCCCCCTTTCCTCCACCTAAGCAGCGACGTTAACATCTGGCAATTTTCTCCACTTTTATGAATTATCCTATTGATCGGTTGCGAAAACTCCCCAACTAAACTCTGAGGAAAAGAGTTACTCAAAGGGTGACTATTGCAAGCGATTGGATACCCTCGATTGCAAGAATTGATAGTTTTACTGCCAGGAATTCCAAAATTAATATGTCAGAGAAATCCAACTCAGTTTGATATTCAACTCAAGAATAGAAGTAATGGAACCGAAGTAGAGGACCTATCCGCAAGAGAAATTCCATTATTCCGTTATGAGAAAGTCTAAATTGAATCAGGTGTTGGGACAGGAATCTCAAAACGGGAAATTTGCGGCCATATCGACGTGGTCCTAACTGTAATCCACTATATGAGCAGTTCCTATGCTGCCCTTATAAATGGCAGAATGGTAGTGGCTATTGGAAGTATTCTTCCAGGAAAGGTCGAGGAACCTCCTTGTCTGTGTATGTTTGCCGAGCAGGCCGAACAGTGCGCTTAGACAACGTCTTCTACCAAAATGACAGGGAGCCATCTGCGCAAATATAAGCTCATATGAGGAAAATGTATATATCTGACTATACAGTGGACTTACTTTCGCCTCACATTAGAAAGCGACTAACGGAACTAGAGAAATTTATGTCTACTCCACATTTATCTGCGATTTTTAGTTGATTTTCTTGAACAAATTTGCACAATGCACAATTCTCGACAAAATCGATAGCCAACTGGGGTTTGAAGAGGAAAAGCGAGCTCCTTTTCATCCTAACTGCTACAATAGTAGTTAAAAATACCTTATCGAATAATGTGTCTTGCAAATCAGAACAGACCGACTACACTGCTTGCGCAGGTTGAGTGCAAACCGTAAACGGAGGGTGTTGGCGTCGGTCGAAAAAACACGGGATTGGTATTTCATGCCACTCACGTTGGTGGGGTTCAATGACTTTAAGGCACTGAAGTATGCCTGTTCTGCTTGCTGCTTTCGTATATCAAACGGTTGCACCTTTCACATTAATTACTCGGTTGTTTGCGTCCGGTAGCGTGGCGGAAGGCATTTCTGAGAGCCCTAAAGCGCTAAATTCTAGCACCAGTCACCTGAAGTTATCAATCTCGCGAAATATCGATAGAAGCCGACGCCCTCGGACTTTCGCCCATTGATCAGCGCGAACTATGAAATGGTTTCACCCAGTTCCTCATACTGGTTCGTTGTTGAACACATCGACTTCTGCTGGACGGATACTTCAGAGTTTATTACTTCGTTCCACCCCGGTTGGCACTTTTATGATTATTTTTGATTTTCATGTCTAACTGGTCTCCATCTTGTGTTCATTCCATTGATGAGGTTGATGTAATGAGATTAACCGCTCTACTTGCTCGACTAGACATCAATGAACCGGCATTATCGAATAGTCTCGCGGAAAATATAAATAGAGAGAATGGGGAAAAGAATTCAACAGAAACATCATACCCTGATTAAATATATTGGAAAAAGTTAGGTATTGAATCCATATCCTACACAGTATATGAATAACGAGCGTGCACTTGTGTAGCAGCCTGTACTCTACCATAACATTTTCATACTTAGTTGCCGTTTCGCAGTAATGTTTGTTCAAGACTAGAAGGACATGTGCATTTATTTCGCCCATGAAATGTTGGGAGAAAAGAAAAGAATTCAAGGACTTTGACGCTGGAAATAATGAACAAACTTTGTTTTCTCACTGGCAACTTGCCAAGATTTCAAAGTTCGCTTCATCCAAAGTTACCACTTTTTGCATTTCTATTTTTATGTGAGCTCTACCACAAATAATGTGCTCGAAGCATACCTATGAATAAGAGCAGCAGGAAATCGACATTATCGCTTCTATCTAACTAAACAACGGCGAGACGCATCGGGGTCCTACAACGGTCGTTAGTTTGCGGCCAGCTGACTAGAAGCCGAGCATATCCGACGGTTCACTCGGAACCAGTCGAGCTCTATCCTTCTCATTTCTTTCCGTTCAAATTGAAAAAAACATCTCGTTAAAAAGCAAGCTCAAAATCCTTCTATGGATGGAGTAGAGCAAGTTTTCGAGCACAATGTGTAATTTAACATTTCTAAATTTTGTTGGGATTGATTTTGTCCCGAAAAAAACATACTTAAGGCGGAGTGTTGGCTATCGACTGGTTTCGTCTTCACCGGCGATAGCAGCGAGTCACAAGTTTTTATCAGCTGTTACCCGTTTACCTGCTTCATGTGTTCTTGAGACGAAAAATCAAAGACCGTTCCTCCGAATTTGATTGCTATTGCTGGATAACAGAGAAACATTATTGGCTCACGGTCTGGTACAAGAAAAAGCAAATGGTACAAAAATTTGTTTTCATGAAATCGATGAGCACACAGCGTCTTACCGTACATACGGCTTCTTCCTGTAAGAAGGAGAAAACTAAGCATAAGTTAAAAATTATTCAACATCCAAGCTTACAGTTTACTAATCTTTCGGAAAATAGAAAGCTCCCTACTTGCTATTTACTATTAAAAAAGGAGTTTTGGAAGAAATAACCCTAAGTTACAGTCAAGCATGTTGAGCGAATGTGTTAATAACACTATACAAGCATGAAAGTATGCTCAAGACTGAAAGGAGGTCGATTTCTTAAACTATCAGCAAGTAACACTCACCTGGTGAGACGAAGGAACCGTATCTTATTTGTGGTATGTTATGTCATTTAGCGAACCTAACTTGAACTACTTTACCTTCCGATAAGTTCCACTTGAAAACAACAAACTAACGAACAATCAAAACATCCGCCTCCTGAACTTAACCAAACCGAATATCACGATGGTAATCGTTTAAAAAAAAAAACATTGATTCAAATATCCGTTTAGCAAAAGCAGCAGAGCGCGACAAGGAAAGTAGAGTGCGTTAGGGAACTCTTTAGGAAGAGAGGATTCTGATCTGACGCTGTCGTAAAATAAGGAAAATTGCATTACTGCATTCCAAACAGATCATCAAAAACCGGGGGTGCACACCATCCTTAACTACATTTTCATCGGAAGGAGCCTAATCGACTTTCAACCTGAAGCCTAAATAAGGGTATCACCTATATAACATCGTCTGGATTTTGCTATATTTGTAAACAAGTACTAGTAAACAACAAGTATTATTGGTCAAAGGTACTATTCCACTATTACAACCCCAAAAACTCAAAATTTTAATCTTCGTAATCGCGTTCATTTTTGGCATTGGCGCCATTTGGCGCCAATTTGCGCCAATTTGACGCCAGGGGTGTTTTCACCAAATTTGCTGAAAACTTGCGTTTAGGGGTTATTTGAGGTCCTGATAACGAATGTAACATCCATTTCTGTGTCCTCAAACAACGAATAAAACTTTNGGGTGTTTTCACCAAATTTGCTGAAAACTTGCGTTTAAGGGTTATTTGAGGTCCTGATAACGAATATAACATCCATTTTACGCGCTGAGGCTATTTGGCGCGACGACAAGGCATACAGGTTGTGGGGGTTACGATGTGGCTCAATAAAAGTTTTATTCGTTGTTTGAGGACACAGAAATGGATGTTACATTCGTTATCAGGACCTCAAATAACCCCTAAACGCAAGTTTTCAGCAAATTTGGTGAAAACACCCTTGGCGCCAAATTGGCGCCAAATGGCGCCAGCGACAAAAGTGAAGGTCATATTCATTATCAGGGCATCGGGTTACCCCTATAGGCGAAGTTTCATCAAAAATTAAAATTTTGAGTTTCTGGGGTTGTAATAGTGGAATAGTACCGATCAAATTATTACCCCACACGGTAACTTCTATAATCGGTACAACGTTAGATAGAACAGTTAAACCCTCATGGTCCATTGAATCCATGGAAGGAATCCAACGCCATTCATTTCCACGGTGAAATGAAGAGTGAATGAGTTGTTTCTTACGAAATAATACAAATTGGTTCTGATAACACTTTCCGGTTCAATGCTGATAACGCGTCCCGAACATGAAAAAAAATAAAGATGTTATGAAGTTTAGCGTAGGAGGAGGAGGGGTAGAGAAAGGGGCCTCAAGGGGGACCAAGGTTCAGCTACAATTAGATAACTAGACTTCAAACACCTACCGATAAGTTTATGGATTAACTTGTTGAAATCAACGACTACATAAATCCGAAACGAAGCGTAATACGGTCCAAAGGAAGGAAAATGGAATCAGCAGAAGGTAATCGAAATGAATAAACAAATAACATCGGATTGCCGCATGGGAAACAATCAATAACGAAAAGGCTGCAAACCAGACATGAAAAAATACCGGGAACTCTGGGTATAGCATTCCGGAAGATGTATATGAGTTCAATATGATGAAACGGAGCCAAAACTACTGGCTAGTGGTGGTTCGCCAAGTCGGACCTCAACAGCTCGAAAAAGCGAGCGAGCGGATGCCGAGGCGGTCGATGAGCGACCGCCGCTGGCCGTAATGGCGCGAATCGATACGTGAGCGCTTCGTCGTAAGCGCTGGCAGATCGGTGGCCTTCGTAGCCGACGAAAGCCGATGAGCAGGGG